ATTATTTTATTAACCAATTAATTTTTGTCACCGAAAACAGACAAAAATTTTTTTGCACATATTGCAATTTTTTTACTCAAATTGCTTTGAGAGTGAAAAAGAACATTTTTATGACTGAGGGAATATTTTTACATTTTATCTGATTTACGGGAAATTTAAAAAAAAGAGTGGAAAAATCTTTCCCAGAGTCAAAAAAGTCGAAAAATTAAAAAAAAGAAATCAAAAACAAAATTTTTCATTATTGCCCAATTAAACAAGTGTTTTTATTTAAATCCTGATACTATAATTTTATCACAGAAAATTATTCGAACAATATTATTATTTTATTAACCAATTAATTTTTGTCACCGAAAAAAGACAAAAAATTTTTTGCACATATTGAAATTTTTTTACGCAAATTGCTTTAAAAGTGAAAAAGAATATTTTTATGACTCAGGGAATATTATTTACGTTTTATCAGATGTTAGAAAATTAAAAAAAGAGTGGAAAAATCTTTCCCAGAGCCAAAAAAGTCGAAGAATTTAAAAAAAAAATCAAAAACAAAATTTTACGTTATTCTACGTAAAAAACGAAACATTTTTTTTTCTATCAGTTGAATGTACGGAGATATGAAAAGTTGAAGTAAAGTGTAAAATTTTGGGAAAACAGCTGACACCGGCATCATTCACGATGAAAATAATTTTTTAACAAATGATTTAGATAAGGTTTGAAAAGAGCCACAAAATGCCGTGCTCCATATTTTTATGTTATTTTTTTTGGCGAGAGATTAAAGATGAACAAGACTTTTTAGAATTTTCAGTCTTCAATTATCGATTGAAAAAAATAGAAAAAAAATTTTATTATATTCATGATTTACACCATTTGAAAACACTTTTCAAGAGCTTTCAAATGCGCCCCCGTCCGACTCTCTACGTTAATTTGCACCAAAAATGGAGAATTTCAGTTTTAATAATTTTATCCGAGGGGGCGGTAAAAGTAGGTGACCGGTAGTGTATATATGCTTTTTCGTTTTTATTCTACGATCAATAAAATGGAAGATATTTCCATTTACAGAATAGCTTTTTTTCCACAAAATTTTCAAAAGTGTATGACCAGTACTGTTTATTTTCTAAATCGATATTTATATTTTTAATAGTTTTTTCAATACTCTCATGATTAAAGCAGTTAATTATTAATTTATAATTTATTATCTTTTTATTGATTTCGCTTTTATACTTTTAATGGTGTTTTTATTGATTTTTTAACAATTTTATGACTATGATATGGATCAAGACTCTGTAACGGGGTGTGAATCCGTTTAATTTCTTTGTCTCGACCGATGCGCAGTCGTACCGGAATGCGCGCGGCGAGATCGAAATAATCAATCTTGCTAACTAACCGGAGAGCAGGAGAGGACGGGTGTCAGTCAACCAACTTACTAACAGCAAAGACAACAACAGATTAACGTTTCAATCATGTACAGACTAGTTTATTCATCAAGTAATCTACAACGCATTTCGTCCGTGCACTTACAATTATACGGTGTGCACGACAATCTTACGTATCGTCAATTCGTTTACAATCATTCGTTTACTCCTTTGCATATTAGCTACCCATTTCTTTACATTTGCAGACGTGAAGGGAGAGCTAAGATATTGCGCGCGGTCGCTTATCGAAAACAATAATGCGAAGCTGGCCAGTATACCTTATGCGATTAGTCGCGCTGTCAAGGGGAGCAGTTCAATGTCGTAGTTCAACACGTGGTTCAGGTTGCCACTATTCCGCTTTAACACGAGACTCTGTCGTTGTGCTGCTTCCGTCGGACGGATTCAGCAGCCTCGAGGCTGGCCTCCGATGGCGTCTCAGCTAGCCACTCGAACTTGCAGCAACAACAAAGAATTATAGGCCGTTTAATGTTCACGCTCCTTATGGCGTTCACACGCACGCTAGTCGTTGTCGGTGTTAAGGACCCACTCCTGGGTTCGGACACGTTATTCGCGACTTTCGGGTAGCTGCACTATTCTCGTGTTAGTGCTCCTGGACTCCTGCACGTTGTTACCGGTGTCAAAGGCGCTCTCTCACTGGTCCTTTTCTCTTTGCGCGCGTTCCTTCCCATTTCGGACCGAGTTTCCGTTTTCGACTTACCCGGGCCGGTAGGTGCTGCCCTCGCAGGCAGCCGCGCGATCGAGACGGTAGCGCAAAGCGGACGATTACCGTCACAACTCAAAAAAATAACTAACAGCGGTATACATTAGGAAACTTGTTTTGTTTTTCTATTATTTATTTAGTACGTACATAATCTCTTTGCGGAGGTATTTATTTGATATTGTCTATATTAATTGTTTCTTCTATTTTTTTATATTATCTAATTATCATTTCTTTTTATTCGATTACCTAGTATTTAAGCTCTAGTTGACTCAACTTAGTTCTTTTACTTTCAAGGATCAAACTATTTGAAAGTAGAAAGTACTTTTACCCATGTAACGGAGAATTCCGGCCGTACCCGTCTGGGTTGCTCGCGGCCGTCCGCACAAATTGTTTATTCGGGGATTCGGGAAGCAAAAGACGTTCCCACGACTGAATAACGCGTCGAGCATAAACACGTTAAACGCACAGATTCGAAGTCGGGATGAGGAGTGATACAGCGGCGAATAAACACAACAGCGGATTAACACTAATCCTTTAATCGTCAACAATGAATTACAATACAGCGATCTCGCGCTTATACACTACGAGCGGCACAACAATGAATCCGAACGCGAAAGGTGAATCGGTGGCTGATCAGCCTGCCGATTCTCTTTATAAATTAAATCGCTACAATAATGCCCGACAAAATACTTTTCGGTGATAGGCCATTAACGGGTAGCCAGCAGGTCTGCTGTGCTACCAACCATAGACTGACGCCCAAACATGCAAGAGAGAGAGACAAGAGAAAAATACGGCACCGACCTCGACCTTCAGCCTCTTCGACGGCTGGAGCGCTCTGCGCGTGACGTCACTGGTGCGCTCCTCGCTGACCGTCTCGCTGATGTTTGTTGTCGTCGCTATCTATCTCCTCGCTCGTTCTCTCGCTTGCTCTACGATGCTGCTCTCTCAATCCGGAACTCGCTCGTTGATTGCTGCTGTTGTTGTCTCCGCCTCCTCCCTGTTGCTCGGTGCTGTAGCACGTCCAAAATCCTCGCGCGCTCGCCCGCGCACCTCGCCGGTTACCCGCACGCACCGGTGCCGGGTATCTTGTGGGACACGGCTGGGCGCGACCCAGCCTCACGCTCTATCATTCGTCCGCGCACCGGGCGTGTCTCCGGAACGAACAAAACGTCGGCGAGGTCGTGAGGCCAACTCGGAAAAACCGCGACCTTTCGGTTAATCCGCGCGCACGACTTTCTCGGCCCAAAGCCTAGCAGGGACTCTCTAATTTTCCGCGGCGATCCGCGATTCGAGCGCGCTCTCTCTCTCTCTCTCTTTCTCTCTTCTTCTGCGCCATCTGCGTCGCTCCAGCAGTCAGCTCAGCCCGTGTTCAGCACCTCGCAAACAAAAGGTCCAAGCATGAGTGTGTGTGCCAAAAGTACACACTCTCAGCCTGGCGCGGCGCACGGACATTTGCGAGAGCTAAACGGACGAGATCGGCCTAGCCGAGATTCTCCGTCACACCCATTTTTAGATTTCAGTTATCTTTGTTTCTTTCATTGAGATATTGTAAATTATTAAATATTTTGTAAATATTAAAAATAATACATTGTAACGACAGATTCCTAAACCCTAATTGCCTTAACTCTCTAATACAATTCTGTAACCTATATGGCTATAAGTCCAGATGCTTAAATCTTAATTTTTATTACCTTCGCGTCCAACGATCTGCGAAGCTATTTCCTTAATCCCTGAAAGTTTTAAACCTCGATCATTTTAAATGATATAATCCTAAATCCTTAAAATCCTAATTCTGTCATATTCCAACCATTTAACCTTCGTTGCTATAACCTAACCTCTGATCCTCTAACTCCAATTTTCTTAATATTGAATGTTGTAAAATCCAAAGGGTAGTAGGTCAACAGTTCATAATTTCAAGATTTAAATATCTACAGATACACAGATACATCTCAGAAGAAAGGCCTGCCGTTCTTGCATTGAAGGTCAAGGCTCGTAATCTAATCTCTCTCTCTCTTTCTCTCTCTCTCTCTCTCTCTCTTCATCGGTATGGCACAGGGCGTAATTGTAAGGGTGAGGTAGGTAGCAAAGCGTACACGCGCCGGCTACCTGCCCTAATTACGGTCAGCATCATAAATTGTCAGATAGCAAATCGTCCAGGCGATCCCTCTCCGGACGGCTTTCTCTTTTAGTTGAAGTAGGCTAAGTCGGTTCGTCGTCATGGCGGTCATCTGCCAGGCTACGCGTGCTGTATATCGTTTTGATTTCTAAGCGCGATAAGTTAGTTAATTTGTTTATAGTATAGGTATTGTGTTACGTGTTAAGAATACCGTTGTGTTCGTTAGTGTTAAGACGTGTTTGCAACACCGTTGTGTTCGTTAGGTGAAGAGTTCGTATTATTATACGGTTTATTACTGTACGATATTTTCGAAGTTTAAGTGTAATTTTAATTTCACTTGATTAGAATTAGATTTGATTTGAATGCGATTTTTTGTTGTGTCGATAATTCCCCAATCACTTTCATTTCTTTACTCTTCCCCCCCTTCCCGCCTCGATCTCGATTGTTATGAGCAAGTGCGCCTCACTTGCCCACCTTAAAATTGATAACGAACGAGCTTTCGTTACAAGATATTTTGAAATCCAAATGTTGTGGATAAATTCTGACTTCGGGTTCGGATTCTACGCAAAAAAATTCTTTACAAAATCTCTGTATGTTTTTCAGAAATACTTAGTTGTCGAACAGCAATCATATCCCGTAATTATGCTTATCTATGTTATATATCGTCAGTTGATTAAGTCATAATAAATACTGTAATATTTATTGAATTTTTATATAATATAATAGTGCTAAATATGATTTTTATTTTTTTATCCAGGATAGTAATGGAATTGATCTAAAATATATAACCAACAAATGGCTCCATTTCAAACTATAGTAACTAATCGTGAAGAAAATGAAGACGGAGAACATAGCATGATTGATCTTCAAATTTTATCCGATCACGAAAATTGGGCAGAAAATACAACTGCCATTACTGGTAATACATCTGAGAGATCTGAATCACTACAAGGTATTGATCAATGGCCACAAGATGGAAAGTTTTCAAAAGTATCATGGTTACATTACTTTACCAAATCACTATCTCTAATAATATTTGTTGCTGCATGTACTAGTCCATTCATCATGGTAGTTCTACCAAAATTAGGATTACTATCAGACAACACAGCAATTTACACCGTACAACAAAAACTAATGCACACCTCCTGTAACGTAGAATGTAAAGGATGTCTTTTAAGTATAGCATTCAAAATACCATTACTAGGAATAGGATATTGGATTGTATTTTACAAATCTAGAGAAGATGTGACACCTCGATTGTCGCTTTTTCGTAACGGCGTAATTTTTTTTACTTTTTTGTGCTTAAGTGCATATTGGTTATTCTACATTGTTCAGGTAACAAATATTTTTGGGTATCTTTGAATAAATTTTTTTTTGTGTAAATTATCGAATTTGAATAAAATTTCAAAAAATGATCTCAACGGGTAAATATAATTTTTTCATGAAACAGAGCTCTGTTGAGTTCAGAGTACATAAGGTAAAAGCACCTATTATGGAACAAACTAGAATTTGGATCCTATTATGGAACAGTCAAATAATTAATAAGTTTATTAATTAATTGATCGTTATTAAGTACTCGGCCAATTAATTAGTATAACATATGGTTACATTAAATTTGTGAAATATCAGTAAAGTTTTATAAAATCTATGATTTTACGATGAAAAAAAATATATATGCAATGTTATGTTTGAAACGCATATGATACCATTGTTTGAGAGTCGAAAACGGCTTCAAGTGCTTGTATTGATAACTCCTAAATTTAACGAAAAAAATTGTTCTATGAGACCAAATCAATTTTTTTATGTTAAAAGACATTAAAATATACTTAAAACTCAATTTAGGTTGAGAATTACATAATTTATAATTTTATTACACCAGTGTTTCACAATAGGATCCTCATTTTTGAATAAGTCTCCAATCTTTGGAACGTTCGGTCCGCGTTCCATGATTGGAACCTCCCGCCACTCAACGGCCGACTAGTATTACGGTACATGTTTTCATTTTGCATTCCAGCATAGAATTATATTAAATCTAATTATTTTGTGATCCGAGAGTTCTGATTTTGTTTAGATAATATATATTTATTGTCTTTTTCATATAAAGTTTGAAGTAAGTATAAATTTCTAAAATTATTTTAGCAAATCTTCTCAGCTAACCTCAAATTAATGCATTCTTTACTCATTCCCATATTATTTTTGTACTTCTTTAAATAGGTACTTAATTATTAATCATATTTTAGGGATGACTTTACAAAAAAAACGCAGAGTGAGTGATGGTAGTCCTGAAAAAAGGCGAAAAAAAAAGTCTAAGATTTACCACCACAAACCTGAAGTTAAAATCGCCAAAAAAGGTTGCAACACTAAGAAGTTGATTTCTTTACAGAAAAGAAACACAAATGTTACAAAGCATATTGTAAAATCACTCTTGAATAAAAGCAAAAAATTCAAATCTAACAAAGGAATTTCTATCAAGAAAAGATTGAAAAAAGATGATGGATGTATAAAAGTAAAGAGTAGAGTGATGAAAGGTGGGACTGTTTGTGATACGAAAACAAAAAGAAAGTTAAGAAGAAAGAAATATTCTCTCGAAGCTTTGGAAAATGCTATTAAAACTATTACACAAGAAGGCAAACCACTTAGAGAAACAGCACTGAGGTATGGTATTCCAGTATCGGCACTCTGTAGAAAAGTGAAAAATCCAGAGTTGTTAAAAAAAAGTGGTCCTGGTACGGTACTATCCAAAGAAGAAGAGGATGAGATAGTGCAATGGATTATTCACAAGGCTCGATGTAGTTCACCGGTGACAAAAACAGAATTATTTGATTCTATTAGAGGCTATTTACACTCACAGAATAGAATCACCTTTTTTAAAAATAATCGTCCTGGTAAGCATTAGTTTAAAAATTTTAGAGCTCGCTATTCTAATATTTCCATAAGAATAGTCCAAAGCTTAAATCTTGCAAGAGCAACAGTCAATGAAGATAACCTAAGGAACTGGTTTAGTTCTGTGAAATTATTCTTAGTAGAAAAAAATCTAATTGATATTCACCCTTCAAGAGTATTCAATTGCGATGAATCCAGTCTATATATAAACTCACATGATGACACTGTATTAGCTGAAAAGGGAGCCAGAGCCGTGTACCAAGTAAGTGATGGTTCTGAAAAAGAATGTTTGACAGTGCTTTTCATGTATAGTGCTGATGGCACTAGAGGACCACCGATGGTTTTGTATAAGAAAGACTTGCCAAAAGCGCTTGTAACAAATCACCCTGAAGACTGGGGCATTGGATTATCCGAAAGTGGATGGATGAACACAGAGACTTTCTACGAGTATGTAACCAATATTTTCTACCCATGGTTACTTAAAAAAACAGTAGAATTTCCAGTGCTTTTGTATATGGATAATCATACATCCCATTTGACTCTACCTCTGTTAAGATTTTGTAAACAGCATCAGATAGAAATTGTTGCTTTGTACCCTAACTCAACACACATAATCCAGCCTTTGGATATCTCAATCTTTCGACCTATGAAAGTGTATTATAAAAAAATCAGTACTGAATGGAAATCAAGAAATGAAACTCAGAAGTTATCCAAAATAAATTTTGCTACGATGTTGAAGGAAAGTTTGGATGCATTCACACAAGAAAAAACGGCAGTCATCAATGGTTTTTCATCTGCAGGATTAGTACTTTTCAACGCAGATGCTGTAGATTATAGTATTTTCAATAAAAAAAGTAAAAAAACAAAATTGAAATCAAGCCAGACACAGCCAACTGAAGAAGAAATTTCCAATCCAATCAACGTGGAAGAAATAGCATTGAAAGTTTTTGAAGATAAGCTTCCATTAGAATTATTATTTCAATTTCAAGACTGCGAAGAAAGTAAAGTATGGACAGGAGATTCGCGCTATATTGCCTTATTTGGAATGTGGTTATCTTTGAAAGGACATACCGGTACTTTTTTACTTTTGTGAATGTATTTGTTTACAAGTATTTATGCATTTTTTTTCTATTCGATATTTTATATTTTATATTCACACATTCATATTTTTATTACATGAAACTTTTAATTAACTTTTAATCAATTTATGATAAATGTCTTTTTTGAGATATATTGATTCTTAAAAAATGTTATAATCAAAGTGCAATCAATGTTTTTTAAATATAATCTTACACTCTATTCAATTTCGAATAATCTATCGTAGACGACGCACTCATTGAGTTAAAATCTGAGGAAAATTCAAAGCCAGAGAAAAGCTCTAAAAATTTTATTATTAAACAAATACATTTATTGGAAGAAGATGAACATGTAAAAATAATAAGAGAGCCTCCCCGAGATCACATAGATGATAAAAATATTAACAACTCTACATTGAATGACTATGAACAGAAATTAGATGATACTTCATTTGAAATGCCAGAAAAAATGGTAGATAATAGCTTGAATTCAGAACCACAAGTTCGAGAAAATTCTAACTTTGATTATTTTGATGAGTCCCATTGCACTGATTACTTGGACCATGATGCTGCCTTATTGTATAGATCAGACCCTGCACTGAACTTAGACAAGTCTAATTCTAATTTGAACGTATTAGACATTCCAGTGGACATACTTTTATACAATGGAGCAGTGATCAATATATTAACCACTCTAAATAATAAAAGTGATAATTTAACTGAGACAGGTACAATTTTATCAATCTTTTATGTAACAAACTTTTTGGTAAAAACTTATAGATATAACAATTGTTATTTCAATTGAAGGTCAAGTTCACAGTATTGAAATTTTGGTAGCTGATGGAGACAAAAATGAAAATTTTGGGCATTCATTTTTACCACCATTATTAAACATAAAAAAAGAAAGATATGATCAAGAAAAGAAAAGAACTTCAACAGGTACTACTGTGGGCAAAAAGTAAGGTGAATTTTCAATTTAAACTTCGCGGGCTTAACATTTCGGGCTAGTTCTTTTTTTCTTGACTTGGTAGGACTGCGAATGACATCTGAGACAAATTTCATGTCAATGTCATCATCAGTAATATATTTACGCTTGTGTTTACCAAACGACCAAGAGTGCATGTTTCGATTTTTACAATGTCTGATTTAATTGAGCAAAAAAGTGCCATCAAATTTTGTTTGCGGAATGAAATTTCGGCTGCGGATACGTTGAGGATGTTGCGGAAGGCCTTTGGTGATTCTACCATGTCGCAGAAAAATGTTTATAAGTGGTACAAAGACTTCAAAGAGGGTCGAGAACGTGTTGATGACTTGGAGCGCTTCGGACGACCATCGACGTCAACAGATGACCAACACGTCAATAAAGTGAAGGAATTAGTGCTCGAAAATCGTCGGTTGACTGTTAGAGACCTTACTGATATGATCGGAATATCAGAAGGATCTGTGAAAACAATTTTGAAAGACCATTTGGGCCTACGAAAAGTCAAATCTCGTTTGGTACCGAAAACGCTCAATTTCTTGCAAAAAAGTCGCCGCGTTGATGTGTGTGAAACAATGCTTTCTGACTATCAGGACAAGCTCAAATGCATGATTACGGGAGATGAGACTTGGATTTATGCTTACGACCCTGAAACAACCGACCAATCAAGCGAATATCGTGCTAAAGGCGAGGCCAGACCGAAAAGAGCACGTCAAAGTCGTTCAAAAATCAAGGTCATGATGACAGTTTTCTTCGATTTTCGTGGTGTGGTGCACTATGAATTCCTTCCACCCGGCCAAACTGTTAATAAGGAATATTATTTGAGCGTTATGCGTCGTTTGCGTGAAGCAATTCGTCTAAAAAGACCAGAATTATGGGCCAACAACTCTTGGTTTTTGCATCACGATAATGCACCATCTCACACTGCACTCGTTCTTCGTGACCATTTCGCCAAAAATTCGACGCATATCGTTCCGCAACCACCGTATTCGCCTGATTTGGCTCCGTGTGACTTCTGGCTATTCCCAAAACTCAAGAGACCACTCCGGGGAACGCGTTTCGAGTCGATTGAGGAGATAAGAGCTGAATCGAAGAAGGCGCTGATGGCTATACCGGAAAGGGACTATTTGGCATGTTTCGAGGATTGGAAAAAACGTTGGTATAAGTGTATTTTATCGGGAGGGGATTACTTCGAAGGGGATGACATTGATGTAGAAGAATAAATAAAGATTTTTCATTTTACAAACAAATTCACCTTACTTTTTGCCCACAGTAGTACATTAAAAATCTAACTGTATTTATTCATTTATTTTTTTATTTTTGAATTGTTTTGACTAAAGTATGCTCTTTATTATTTAGAAAACGTATTACCAAAAAGCAATGATATTCCAGTGCAT